CTACCTTAGCTATTCACTCCTGCAGTCTTTTTTTAATGGTTACTTGCAGACTAGTAAACCAGAAAATTCATTCAGGGAATAAATACATTGAACACTATTATTAGTTACTAGTTTCCATATTTTCACTTCCCTTCTAATATTAATTCAAGTAAATCTCTAAATTTGTCTTAGTCATCTCTCTCATTAATCTAGATTTTTAGATTTCTAATTATTTGCTTATAATTTGGGGAAAGAAGGGAAATTAACTTATAGGGAATGCAATTTTACATCATGGGCTCAATATATGTCATTTTATGATACAAAAAGACTGATACATGCATTATGTGTGCCTTATATGTCTTCTAAGATTGAGTATTATACAAACCATTAAGAATAACTAGAACTGAAATTCTGCCTTCATTCAAAGTTTTGTTCTTTTTCCATCATAATACTAAAGACTTACAGCTAAAGTCCCCTATTGACAGAGTTAGGAATCATACTTTTATTCCAACTTCTTTTTACAGAGAACAAATATATTCAAACGTTTTTTGAAGATGATGGGAACAAAATGCATAATTAAGGGTGGAGGAACAATAAATAATGGAGTGGTAAGTCATTTGAAAGCATTTCATTGAAAGCATTTAATTTTATTTCAGATTTTTTTCCAAATCAACTATTTAATCATTTAGCAATAAAGATTATAATTATGCTTTTCTTATCATTTGTTTTAAAATGTGCATTTAAACTATCTAAGATTTAGAGAATTTCAGTTTACATAAACCTGTTTTGACCACTTGTCAAAGTCTGTATCCACAGATTCTACAGAGAAATAATATAATTGCAATTACAGGCAGCTCACATTTTATAAACAGATTGAGTTCCATGAGTTCATTAGTTAGTTGTTTGGAATCAGTGGGCATTTTCCCATTACCTAATCTAATAAAGGATGCTTATTTCCCAAGCTAGCATTTCCTATGTTTCCTCCTATCTCAATCCCAATCCTTAAAACAACAAAAAGGGAAAAGTCTTCTTAAACCAAGGTGAATGACAATGCTGTTTTAGCCTTGGTTTTAGGGAGTATTGAAAAAAGAGCTTTGGAAATTAAGAAGGAATGTTTGATTCACCCCCTCCCCCCAAAAAATAGTGGGAAAAATGACCACTGAAATGGTGGTTGCTCTTGACCACACTAGAAAGTTTCCATATTTTTTTTCTAGAATCTTTGATGTTTACATCTTGGGATCACTTTTACTCCAAGGTGAAAATTAAACAAAGAAAAAACAAAGGTGGCTAATAAATATGCCTTATAGTTTTAGCAGGTTCACAATGATTAGACTCTCTTAAGTCTACTTGGCACCCTAGAAAAATTAGTGATATCTGAATGTCAGTTACTTCAAGATTTTTTTTATTATTCAATTCTAGAAGATTTCCTAGAAGTAATATCTTTCTAACTCCTCTTCCTTATTCCTATTTCAAGTAATAAAAGTATTTATATTTATTATGTAATATTCTGTATAGTTTCACAGTGATTATTCTTCACAATCTTTGAGATTATAGATGTCGTTTATCCTGTAGCAATCTTACAAATAAAAATAAAATTTGAGATATCTAAATTTACTAAATTCTCATAATCCCCAAAAGATTATATTCTAAGTAATCTACATCCTATTTTCAGGCTTATTTCTCACACTCAAAACAGACATCTGATACGTTAGTAAGTTGCAAAAAACATGATGTTGAATATCTAAACATTAGCCATTATTATTTTCATACATTTACAAATATGTATGTATTTGTTTTGGTTATAAAATAGATTTTAATTGTCATTACAAAATGTGACATAACATATGATTAAGAACACAAGGTAATTTTTCACAACAAATATTAAATTATAGCCTAAACTGTTGGAGCTATCACTTCACAGTATATATTATCAAATATCACAAAAGAGAACTTTTTTTATAACTCTTTTCTATGCTTCCTACTGACCCAAAAGTCTAAAAATTATTCTCAGATATTATTAAAATTACTCATCTGTACAATAACAAAACATAAATGTCACCTAATGTCAAATTGTAATACCCCAAGTCTGTAGCCCAGTAGAAAGAGACTATGGGGCCAAGCCTGATTTGATCCCAGACACTTTACAGTGTTTCAAGTCTGCCCATATTGATCCCTGAGCCACAGAACCAGGAAAAAGCCCTGAGTATAAGCAGTTGTGGCCCACAAAAGAACCGAAAAAGAAACTGAAAAATCATCTTTTAGAACACTTGATTTGGCTCTAACTTATAGTCATTATTTTGTTATGTGATGATTGACTCATTGCATTGTCACTCATTTTTAGCGTAATATGAGGATACAGTTATTATAGTTTGAAGAAGAATGAAAAGACCATATGTTTTTTAAAAAATAAAGATAGGGACTACAACAAATTTTTAGATTATAAAGGTGCAAGCCAAACTTGACCGCTAATCCTAAAGGCTCTTTATTGGTGGATAGTGACCTTCTAAAACTCTACAATGAAAATGAAAAGCAGCAAAAAGAAGGAAAGAAAGGAAAGGAAAGGGGGAAATATGATTGAAGGAAAACAGAGAACAGGGCAGGGGCATACGGGATAGTGCAGTGACAAAGAACGATAGCCTGGTGAACATGAGGAGCAATTCCAACCCCAGTGCCACCCTCCCTCACTGAGTGGCAACAATGCTCCTTCGGCATTCTGGTGCACTGACAGAGTATACAATCTCTGAAGCACTTCAGCCAGGTGTGCGTGAGCACTGCAACTCCAGTGTTTAGCCCAATAAAGCAGTAGAAAGAAAAGAAGGAGCATTATCTCAGGGCCCTTGGAATCTGTCACCATTGCAATAAGAATGTACACAAGTAAATGAGCACCAGCAAGCACCCCAACTAAGGTGTGTGACCCCAGGGAGCACCACAGGCAAGCATGTGAGAACTCTATCAAGTGTATGTGTGACCTGCAGTTATCCCACCAACAACAGCAAAAACAGAGGTGGAGGTATGAGGGGAATGGGGAGATATACAATAATAGCACTGTAGCACTGTCCTCCCGTTGTTCATCGATGTGCTCGAGCAGGCCCAGTAATGTTTCCATTATGAGACTTGTGGTTACTGTTTTTGGCATATCAAATACATCATGGGTAGCTTGACAGGCTTTGCTGTGCGGGCGAGATACTCTCAGTAGCTTGCCAGGTTCTCCGAGAGGGGCAGAGGAATTGAACCCAGGTCAGCCAAGTCGGCCGCGTGCAAGGCAAATGCCCTACCCGCTGTGCTATTGCTCCAGATAATAAATGAGAAAAAAATTAAGCCTCTTCTACAGTAAAACTGGGATTTAATTCTTTTGAAATGGTCTCAAGTCAGGGTTGTATCTCAGTAGTAGAGCATTTGCCTTGCAGGTGTGAGGCCCTGGTTTGATCCCAATACCACACACACACACTCTCTCTCTCTCTGTCTCTCTCTGTCTCTCTCTCTCTCTCTCTCTCTCTCTCTCACGCACACATACGCATACATACACATACGCATGGAATCTTGGCCTCACATAGCCTTATACTTTAAATTACTACTAATATTCATCAAGCTAATGAAGGTTTTGCTTCATATGCATGCTATTATCTAAGAAAATCCTCTCCAAGAGCAAGAGTACAGTGAGTAGGTCACTTGCCTTGCATGCAGTCGACCCGGGTTCAATCCCCAGCACCCCCATATGATACCCCAAGCCTTGCCAGGAGTGATCCCTGAGTTCAGAGCTGGGAGTAAGCCCTGAGCACTGCCAGCTTTGGCCCACATAACAAAACAAAACAAAACAAAAAACAAATCCTTGCCAAAATTCTTTAAGGTAACCACTGTGATCTTGAAGAAATCAAAACATAGTACTTATACACGTAAAAATATACATAAACTTAGTTTGGTCTTAGGAACTCTTGGTCATCTAGAGCTCCTGTTTTTCATCCTGATTCTTGTACCAGCTCCCCAAGTACCATGCGAGTATGGAGAACCATGCCAGTGTGGAGTGGATCATAGGTAAAGCTGCAATTACAAAGTCTACCTCCTTGCTTGTACCTTTGTGGCTACATTTTTCACCTGAATCCTCAGAAACAAAGAATGTGAGTCAACTAGAAATTGAATGACAATGCAGTGAGCCCAGTGCCTAGAGCAGTAGCTGCAACCAAGTCACTGTGGAGCTGGGTCTACTCTGAATCCTGAAATATCATGCAACAGTAGGGTAATCCTCTGTTCTGCCTCTTCTATCACAGGTACTTATGATTCACCATGAAGGACAATAGAATTCAGAGCTTAGTTGCCGCCACCCTCCACTGCTAGGTAAGAAATAGTCAAGGAAGGTAGCTGAGCACCCTTCAGTCACCCGTCCAGCTCCCAATCTACCAGCCTTAGTAAAAGAGAGGAAAGATTTACCTGCTCCTAGTGAGGCTGAAGCCTGACAGTCATGTGTACCTTTGAAGGACTGTAATGGTTTTAATCAAAGGGATAGCATCTTTTTGACAGGCAGGAGAGAGAGAAAAAGAACTGAACCACTCTGCAAATATTAACCAGGCTATTTTGGAGCAATGGCTATTGCCTTTGAAATCTTTCATCATGGGTCTATACTTAGAATTGAGATGAGCCTGGGGGAGGGGAACAGGGTAGTGTTAATCCCCAGTTGTTTTGAAGTTGCATCAAAACTGTACAAATGGCAGCATTCAATGCTTTGTTTACAGTATTCAGATCTGTTTTTGTTTTAACCTGTTCTGCATATAGATAGTTCCATTATCCTGGGGAGACATTTCTCAGTTTGCTTTCAAAGTCGATGTTCTAGAGAGCACTGGCTGCAATCAAACTGGAAGACTGATGCTCCATGACAGCTAAAAGTTGGATTGAGTTTCAGGAGCTACTATATATAAAGCCAGGGCCACTTATGTCACCGCACTAATTAAATGCCATCTGGGTGGTTCCTCTGGGTTTTTTGAGCCCATCACCCAGTTCATACGGAGTCAGAGGCCAAGGAGGAGAACATGATGATGGACCTTTTCGAAACTGGCTCCTATTTCTTCTACTTGGACGGGGAAAATGTTACCCTGCAGCCATTAGAAGTGGCAGAAGGTTCTCCTTTGTATCCAGGGAGTGATGGTACCCTTTCCCCCTGCCAGGACCAAATGCCCCCAGAAGCTGGGAGCGACAGCAGCGGAGAGGAACACGTCTTGGCGCCACCGGGCCTGCAGCCTCCTCACTGCCCGGGCCAATGTCTGATCTGGGCTTGCAAGACTTGCAAGAGAAAATCTGCCCCCACCGACAGACGCAAAGCGGCCACTTTGCGCGAAAGGCGGCGGCTTAAGAAAATCAACGAGGCCTTCGAGGCACTGAAGCGTAGGACTGTGGCCAACCCCAATCAAAGGCTGCCGAAGGTCGAGATTCTGCGGAGCGCCATCAGCTACATCGAGCGGCTGCAAGACCTGCTGCAGCGGCTGGATCAGCAGGAGAAAATGCAGGAGCTGGGGGTGGACCCCTTCAGCTACAGACCCAAGCAAGAAAATGTAAGCCCGGTTGCTGCCAAGGCAGGGGCAGGATTGCAAAGACCGCTTAGTGGCTTTCCCGAGGGCCTTAACCTCCAGCTGCTCGGCCTCCTTTCCAGTTCCTTTCCTCACCCTCCCCTCCCGCTCCCTCTCCAATGAACCCCCAGTGACCCGTGAAGTCGGGGTTCTCGCAAGAAGCAGGAAACGTGTCCCGTGCCTGGGGGAGCTGTGGCGACACCCCCTTCCTCCAAACCTCCCCCCCCCCCTCTCGCAACCTGGCCCCCGTAACCGATGTTGCTTTCCTAATCGTCTGTTTGCCTTGATTTCCCTTCAGCTGGAGGGTGCGGATTTCCTGAGCACCTGCAGCTCCCAGTGGCCAAGTGTTTCGGATCATTCCAGGGGGCTGGTGCTAAGTGCCAAAGAAGGTAACGGGAAAGGAAGGACCGTTCTCGTTCTCGAGAGCATCTCGGGGTACAAGACTAGGATGCTCGCTGTGAGCATAAAGGGCTGGTGCGAGAGAGGAGATGCGCCCCCTGATACCAGAGGGGCTCCCTAGGGGTGCCGGGCCAGTCGGGTCCTCCCGCGCGACGGGCGCGGAGCTGCCGGGTCCCTCCTCCTCCACCTCCCCCCAGGGCGATGTGCGTGCGTGTGTGTGTGTGTGTGTGTGTGTGTGTGTGTGTGCGCGCGCGCGCGCGCGTGTGGGGTGTGTGTGTGTGTGTGTGTGTGTGTGTGTGTGTGTGTGTATATGTCTGAGCGTGTTTTTCTGCTTGCAGGAGTGCCAAGCATCTCCCCCAAGGTGATGCGCGTGCGTGCGTGCGTGCGTGTGTGTGTGTGTGTGTGTGTGTGTGTGTGTGTGTTTGTGTCTGAGTGTGTTTCTGCTTGCAGGAGGGCCGAGTATCGATGCTTCGGCTTCGAGCAGCCTCCGGTGCCTGTCTTCCATCGTGGACAGCATCTCCTCGGAGGAACGCAAGCTGGGCTGCGCCGAGGAGGTGGTGGAGAAGTGACGGGGGCCGGCGCTCTGGACATTCTCCACGCTGCAGGAAGATCCCACCCGCCCCGCTTCGCCTAATCCTTTAGCTCAGGTCCCATTACAGGAATATTTAGGAATTCAGACCCAGGAGCTTATGCAAAGGGAAGGAGACAAATGCACAAAAGAACTTCCCGGAAACTGTTGGGCACGCTCCGTTTGAGAAAGCCTATGGCTTCGGGGCTTTGATTTGTGGAACCGCGAGTGGCTTAGGGCTAGCGGCCCGCCTTTGTTTCTGTTTGATTGGTTTTGTAATATATTTCATTTTATGACCGTGATCTTTTCTTGAGGGGGATGTGTGTGCCATATTCCAAAGAAGTTCATTCCTGTCTCAAGCAAAGTGGAAACGTTGCATTGAAAAGATAGTAGAATTGAGTGTAATTTTTTTTGTAAATACTTTTTTTTTTAAAAAAAAATGTGTATCCCAAAGATATATTTTAAATGTGGAATGCCATGTGTAAAATGTGCAAGGATTCTGGCACTGTAATATTAAAAGATAAGTTTCTATATGAGTAAAGTTTCTATATGAGTAAATTGCTTTAGCTGAAAAAAACTGCTTAAGGGCATGTGTACATGAAGAAAGAGGGCCCATATTCTAATTCAGACACCACACAAGCCCATTTATTTGGGTGTTTTCCTAAAGAACTATGTATTGGGATGAAGAGAATTTGTTTTTCTTAACTCATATATTACCTTACACTCTGGGGTAGAAGTGAAGATTATCCTGAAGGAACCCGTTTTTTCTCCATCTCTTGCTTTCTGTTTTAACTGTCCTGTTCCTATAGAGTGTCTTAGCTTAACTTAACTTAATTGTCTTAGCTTAACTTAATATGTTTTCAACGCAGTAAAACCCTCAGTATTGCAAAGAATTGCCACACAAGTCTCTACTTCTTGGCCTAAAAGACATTCAGCTAATTAGCCAAAATTCCTTTTCTTCTTTGGTTTTCCAGGACCTACCGGGTCTGAGGAATCATTCACTTGGAGGCTACAGTAGCCCCAGATCCAGGAGCCCGACCCCCTCCCAGTTTTCTTGAACTAGACTGGTGGCTCAAAGACTGGTGGGGTGTGCTCAAGGCCGGTGTAGTTTGCCTTTGTTTTCCAAATAGAAAGAGTAAAGAGGGGGACAATCTGTCTCTTGAGGGGTGGTGGGCTTCTTTGAAGGAATGCTCCAGAGAGGGAAGGGTTAAATGGTAGAGGATAAGACAACAACAACACACATGATACCTCTTAGCTGGACCAAGTAGCAAAGCCCTAGAGAGGCCTGAAACCCCAGGAGTGCCTTGCCATGAGGATTTTACAACGTGTGCCGGGTTTGTTTATCCTGTAACCTCAGGAAGGAACGACCACCAAGAAACACAGTGTGAAGTGAAGCTGGAGAGAGGAACAGCCATTTCTTTGGAACTGCTGCTTCTCTCTTAGACTGTTAGTGGCACTTTCTCTCCCTGCCTCCACCATCTCCACAACTCTTAGCTTCTTCCTTCCCTTTCTCCTACCAAGGTTAGTGCTTCATTCACAGATGTGAAAATCAAAGTGAGTTCAACAGTTTCTAGCCCCCCAATTTCTTTGTAATACTTGAGTCAGGACACCCCAGAACTTCCTGATACCACCACGGACAGTGCCCTGCAGGCCCACAATTGCATCTCAGTATCTTAACTTGGTTGTTTGTTTGTTTGTTTGTTTGTTTAATCTCAAAAGGCCTCTTTCTGGAAACAATAGTTATTCTGTTTTCTCAATACAGGGGAAATTCTAATTTCTCTAATATACTTTTTTTCCAGTGCAAAAATGCCACCAAATGAAACTGCATGGACACATAATCAATCTCAGAGGTTTGAGAGAATCAAGTGGGAGTTTTAGAGGAGGCAAACAGCTGAGTCCTGGTGGGCTCGACTAGCTAGATGAATCCCGGCTGTTACTCCTTAGCCCTGAGCTATCTTTGCTCCTCATTTCCAAAAGAATGGGAACAACAATAACAGTGCTTAACTCCCCGGGTTGTGGAGATTCGCTGAGATAACACGTGTCTGAGTGCCTAAGTCAAAACTTCACACAAGATAAGCACTACCCTCATTTTTTTTTCCTCACAAGTAAATCTAAATAGAGCGTCTTAAGTTTTTTTTCTTCTACCAAAAGCCGGTTTAGTTCCTTCAGCTCCAGTTATCCAGACTTTGACAACTCTGTCTGGCTAGGGAAAGTATTCATAACAAAGAGACCAGAAGGAATTTGAATGAGCCACTCTTTTTATTTTACATACTAATTCACATTGTCCTGTAATAATCTTTAGGATTAGGAAAGGTACTAGCAATACTTCTGCTTTGGAGAGGAAATATGTTCTTTGGAACAGTGAGATATTTGCGTCTCTTGGTAGAGGGCCTGGTCTACAAACACTAGGTAGATGGATTCAAACCTGTTCTCTAAGCCAGCAGGCATCCTGAAAGAGAAGCCATGAAGAATTTAAAAGGAGTGTTTATTGTCTTTAAAATAATTTGGTTCTCTTTGAAAATGATTTTCCCAAACCTCCTAAGACTAATGAGCCACTGAGTTTAGAACAATAATCTAATTAAAACACAATGGGGAAAGTATGTCAAATGATCTAAGAAGATGTGTGAATATGTCTGGGTTATGTATATACCCACTAATGATGCTTATTAGAGATCTATGACTTTTCTTCCCCTGGGAATAGAAGTTTATCCTAAAATGATATTGGATTCATGGTACATTCAAAATCAAATACTGTAATTGACCAGATGAACCAATTTCTATAAGATCACATGCATTTTTTATAATACATTTTGTATTAAAAACTGCTTATCAGCAGAATGCTTTTATCAATGAATGGATTTTACCTGTTGATGGATTTTATTCAGTCTTTGCAAATCAAAACTTTTCCCTTTCTGTTAGTTGGGAGAAATTGTTTGGAATTTTATGTTTGCCTATAGAAATCTCTTCCTTAAATAGAGCAAATATTTCCCAAAGACTTCAAGTGACCCCCACTGCTGAAGCTGTTGACATGCTAGGCTACTCAACATAATCTATGGTGTGTTTGCAATTAAAGTGTTTATTTGATATTAATGATGATAATCTTTACTAATTCCAAAGCCAAAATAAATAGCAGACAATGAGGATATAGTAACTTCTTAAAGATAAGTACCTTGGGAATTTAACTGACCCTTTTCCCAGAGGTAAACATAAAGTTATCAGGTATAAAATGATTTTCTTTTGTAAATTATTATAGAAACAACTTGCAAAAAATAAAATATGAGCTTTTTCAGACTAATTTTAATGATCGCAATGGTATCATTGAATCGCAAGTCTGAATGTAGTAATCCACTTAGGTCATTACCCCCTTCCCCTCAACAGCTACTTCTCTTTTGTATGTTTTGGGGAGGGAACATTGTGCTGAATGAAATTCAGTGTGCCCAATTACCCTTGTTGTGTTTAAAATTTGGTGGATAAGGTTTTGCTTGCTAAAGTGATCTGTATCCCTATTATGACACTTAAGCTCAAAGATAGAATTAATGTATTTCTTAGCAATATTTTTATCCATCTCAAAAATCTCCTCCCACAACAATATATTTTGAAAAAAGAATATGTACTTAAAATATTTTAGTTAAATCTTGAATTTCTATTTTTTAATTGAATACATTATTCATACAGCAAGGACATATTACCTCAAAAATACAAGCCATCAGACCTCTAGTCACACCTTAAGCTCAAACACCACTCTCCACACCCCCCCAATGTTATAAAAGGTTACCCTTGGTTTCATTCTGACAAGGAAAGCTTCTCAAGTCTGTTCAGAGTCAGACTGTGAAATGGAATGGCTATGCCATGTGCTGAACCAAAGATAATGAATACTAAAAGAACTGGCTACTTTCTCCACTCTCAATGCTGCTGAAAGTCCTTACTTAGGCCTTTGATCTCTCCTGGGAGTCTTAGAATTCAAGCGGAGACCAATGTCTTCCTCAGCTGTCTTCTCCACAAATTCTTCCAGCAGCTTTGGCAGGTACTAATGTGTTTACTTAGGTGTGCTGGTTCCCAGAGCTAATAGTAGTTTCAAATTGTTTAGCACATTGTGAAGTCATATATAATAAGTAAAAATCTCTAGAACAACTCCCTTTATACAGAAGCTGGTAAAGGTCTCAGGTAGGGGCAGAAGAAAGTTAAAATGAACTTTCTGTGTAAATTTGGTTTGATCTACTGTTTGAAGGATGGAGAAGTCTCATTATGGCACTATTCCTATGGTGGCCACATTTGCTACAAAAAGAAACTGATGATCATTTGCTGATGTGGTGTGTTCATTAGCACAAAGAATGTTGTCATAATGCTTAAACTGAAATAGTTTCTCTGGAAAACAAAACAAAACACTTGATTAAAGACTCTTAAAGAGTCTTTGCAATTTAAATCTGCTGGCAAACCAATTTGTAAGAAGATCAAGCATGTATTTATTTTTCAGAATGCAAACAACAAAAAGATTTTAATTATCTATCTTCTTCCTCAGAACCTTGGTGGACATTTGTTTGTGATACAAGACATGGCTGGGGAAGTTTCCCCTCCACATCTGCCTAATGAGCGGTTCTATCTGAATGTTAGAATGACATTTCTAAGAACATAGCTTACTGTTTAAATATGAGTTAGGGGAACAAGCATGAAATCCTTTTCTCTGGAAAAATTTAGGGGGGGACGTTGTACTACCCCCTTTTTTTCCTACAAGAAAAAAAATAGCGAATCCATTTTAAGAAAATTTTAAACTTTATTTCATGCTTCCCTATTCAATATCCCCACTTCCTTGTCCCACGCCAAATGAAATAAATAAATAATAAAATAAACCTTGTTCTGCATCTTTCCCTACTCTACCCGATCTTAGCTCCTACACCTATGCCCAGAGTATCAGAACCTCTCCTGAATTGTAGGACCACCCAGACATTTAGGGGTTCGCTCTGGCTTTCTTTTTCTCTTTCCATTTTGAGGGGATCGCTTTCCCCTCTCTTCCCTAGCAGCAGATCAATTTTTCCCTGCTCGGTTTTTACTTTGGGGCTCTGAGAGCCAATTTTCAGCACTTGAGTCCCCAGAGCCCTCAACCCCGGCATCCCCCAGCAGGTCCTATTAAGCCGCGGGCGCTTGTGTTTTCTCTACTTCTTTAGTTCCACTCGGCCTCGGCCTCGGCGCTCGGGCAACTTTGTTTTGAGATCACCTTACCAAAGCCAGCCCTAACCCCTGAGAACTACCGTTACTGACAGAGTCCCCCCGAGTGACAGCCTCTTTCAGGCTGCGAACGGAGCAAAGAGGTCGGGGACTGCGGGTTTTGTTTTGTTTTGTTGAGTGTCTAAGCGCTTCGGAGCGCGCCAGCCCAAATTGACTGAAGAATCCAAACAAGACTCACCTCTAGGAGCGCAAGCTCTAGCGAGGGGAGTGGCCAGCCTTCAGCCTAGTCCCTTAAGACCCGGGGTGGGGGTGGGGGGCAAGGTGCTTGCCCTGTGAGCATCGGTGACCTTTCAAATGGAATCTAATAATAGTTTCCGCAAAGTCGTCAGAAGTATTAAAAGAATACCTGGTAAGAAAAATGAGTAGTGTCTGGCAAAAAGAAAGAACACTCAATTCATTGGCTACAAATATCAGAGGATAAGAAAACTGGCTACAGAGCTGATTTGGTATTTGGAGATGGTGGTTGGGAGAGTCACAGAAAGGCAAAAGGGTCAATTTTTATATGTTTTACATCTTAAGGGCAAGTGTGTCCAGAGCACAGGTACACACACACACACACACACACACACACACACACACACACACACACACAACTTCTGTTGGAGCTGCAGCCCTTCTGTCCTTTGACACCAGAACTCCACAGCCAATGAACTCAGGAAACTCAGGAGCACTGCTCTGCCGCTGGGAAGTATCTGAGAATATCTGAGTGATCTCTTTCCCCTTGTAATTCACAGGTAGCAATGCACAATAGTACAATGCACCCATCTTCACAGACAGGATCTTCCCTTAGGAACTTGATTCTTATCTGGTGCAACTCTCAATTTCAACATTCATGCCAAAGGCATCCACCTGCTAATAATCATGTATAAGTTACAGACGGCTTTCCCACCACCAGAGAAGATGGCCTGTTGGTGTGAGAGAAAGCCTGGTGTTCAAGGGGTGTGTGCAGGTCTGTGTTTCTGTCTTTCTTAGAGATAAGAAAAGTTTCTTGTAGCTTTCCCTCATGACTGATATTCACCTAACCTGGATTTCTGATATTTCCTTTGAGGAGAACAGATCTCCCCTAGGGGAAAAAGTTTGCTCTTCTCTGGCTCCTCTAGATTTTTGCTTTAGGAAAAGAATTTATCAAAAGGTAGGAGAAAGGAAATATTTCCCCCACTCCACACACACAAAAAATTCATAGTCACAACAGTCAATAATAGGATGAAAATAGCTGGGAAAGCACGCTCCCTTCTCTAACAGGGCTGCAAAGCCAGTTCAAAATCTCAGCCCACTTAGAGATATTTATCCAATCTGTAATTGTTGATTGCCTCCTGTGTAGAAACAGCAGCCCCCTTTCTCCTCACAAACCCACCTCCCACCCCCACCTCAAGGATCTGGAAATAGATTAAGGCTACTTGTGTATTGGTAAAAGCTGATTAATTCATTTTCTTTTAAATAGCAACTCTTCCCTTTCCTCATCAAAGTCTCCAAGATCCTGTTGAGATTGCTTTCTGGGGGAAGGCTTTTGTCACAGAATTGTGTGAAGTTTCTGGAGTTTGTGGAGTTGGAAACTTTACACGAGTCAGGGAGGATTGCTGGGCCGGCAGCTGGGACGCATCTGTAACGGTGTTAGTTTGCCTGAAAGCAGAAAATTAGCGACCCCAAAGCCCTGCTAGGCTGTTTAGTCTGTTGAAATGCCTGGGCGGAACAGAAAGAGAAAGGAGAAGCTCCTCTGTGAAACAGAGTTGGTCGTCTGAAACTCGTTTTCTTGAAAGTCAAATGTTAAGAGACGCACTTGGCCTGGGATCTCTGGCAGCTCAGGGTCACGCAAAAGGCCTGGCACAAAGCAAGGGGCGCTCCGAAAACCCAGCGCAGGAGCGGGAAGCGGGGCAGGGAAAGTGTTCTCCATCACTTGGCCCGACCTGAGTCTTCATCCTTTAACATGTGAACTCAGAGCAAGCCGTGTCTTTGGGGAAAAGATCCTCCCCTGCCTAACCCCAGTTGCGTACAAAAATGACGATCGGATCCTTACAGAATAGACGCACTTTATGATCGCAAGGGTCACTTCCAGGTGTCAGCAACAGTTACTGGGTCCACCGATCAGAAAATCTCCCGAGATCTTTCAAGTTCCTGAAAAAGAGAACCTCCAAATAAGGTGACCCCTCTTGCCCTGATCTCTTTGGGTGTGGGCTGCAGGTAGGACGTCCTACTGGTTCTCTGATGCTCTTTAAACGTGTGGGCTCTTACTAAATTAGACTTCCTGGGTTCCTTTGTCGGAGACGCCTGGGCTCAGTGATCCCTGGGCTTAGGTACTCTGGAGAGTGCAAGGAATAAGGTAGAGGCAAGTGCTCCCGCCCCCAACCCTCCCTAGCAGAAATGCAGTAAAACCATTAGAGTCCAAAGGGGCCGTAAACAGCAAATCGTCTCTGGAGGAAAAGGCAGAGCTTTGCCCAGACAGCCTCGGCGGGGGTTGCGGTGGGATATGCTAATAGTGCCCGGCCACTGGGGCCGGCCTCCCTCCCTCAAGAATATATAAAGAGCCCCAGCCCCTGCGCTAGCGACCCAGGCCAAGGCGTCTGCCCTTGTTAATTACTGCGGCAACCGACGGGCGAGCTCAGCCCAGGTCTGCACGCCCGCAGAGGCGCCAGGCTCTGGTTTCGGCCCCCACCTGCCTCTCTTGCTGCCCTGTAGGTGCAGGGCCTGACTCCGCAGAGGATGGACATGATGGATGACTGCCAGTTCTCCCCTTCCGAGTACTTCTACGATGGCTCCTGCATCCCGTCCCCCGAAGGGGACTTTGGGGACGAGTTTGAGCCTCCAGTGGCCACCTTCGGCGGGCAGAAAGCTGAGCTGCAAGGCTCGGATGAGGATGAGCACGTGCGAGCACCGACGGGCCACCACCAGGCCGGCCACTGCCTCATGTGGGCCTGCAAAGCGTGCAAGAGGAAGTCCACGACCATGGATCGCCGAAAGGCAGCCACCATGCGCGAGCGGAGACGCCTGAAGAAGGTCAACCAGGCTTTTGAGACGCTGAAGAGGTGCACCACCACCAATCCCAACCAGAGGCTGCCCAAGGTGGAGATCCTCAGGAATGCCATCCGCTACATTGAGAGCCTGCAAGATCTCCTGAGGGAGCAGGTGGAGAACTTCTACAGCCTGCCTGGCCAGAGCTGCTCGGAGCCCACCAGCCCCACCTCCAATTGCTCTGACGGCATGGTAAGTGCTTAAGAGGGCTCTGGTACCTACTCGGTCTCTTCGATTTTTTTAATTTCAGAAAAAAATAAATCTAATTTAAGCCACACGGTGGCAACCAAATACTCAATGGATATTGATGGTTAGTAGGGACTGGGAATGGGGAGACAGGCACTATAAGAAAAAAAAGGGTGTCTAGAAACAGCTGATGAACAGGATTTTAGTTTGACTTACCAAGTTCTAGGTGTAGGAGAGGGTTGTCATAAAACACAGGTAGTTGTGATAAATCAATCACATGTTTCTTCCATTACTCAGTTTCCTCCACCCCAATCCACTATTCCACTATTCCCATTCTACTAAACCTCGCCTTTCATGACATCTAAAGGCAGTGGTATGAAGTTTTCACTGCTCCATAGATTGTAACTCTATAAAGAGGTGGGAAGTACTCTGGTGGCCTCCTCTGCTCTGCTGAGGCTTGACTGGAAAGACATGTCAATGCATTCTTTTGGAAAGGCTTTTGGACCAACTCTGCCAGGTGCATGCCTGCATGTGTGTGTATGTGTGTGTGTGTATGTGTGTGTGTGTGTGTGTGTGTGTGTGTGCGTTTGCCCTGGGAAATTATTTTCTCCCAGAATTAGTGTGGCTTCCTCCTACTTCAATCCATTTTGCATGGTTAACCCAATGCACATTGCTGCTGAATTCCATGCCCCCCCCCACCTACACACACACACACACACCCACGCGCGCGCGCGCACGCACACACACACACACAGTTCTTCTTTGCTACTGCACTTATTCACTAAGCACAGAGATTGGTCTTAGGACCAAGACTCAGTACCAACAGTAGAGCAGCCCTTCCTAGTTCAAGGCAGTGAAAACAATTAAGTGATTAATTTAGGGAACTATGAGCAAACACTGCCTTATCCTTTGTCATAGCATCTTTTGTCAAGACTTGAGTACAAATATCTGTTATGTCTGTTGTGTCTTGTATTATAGCCTGAATGCAACAGTCCCATGTGGTCCAGAAAGAGCAGCAGTTTTGATAGCATCTACTGTTCTGATCTACCAAATGGTAAGAATCCATGGCTTCAGAGAAGTTAAAAAAAATGCTATTCACCTTCACAATTAAGGCTAGCAGAGTGTTCTTCTACGCAGCATTTGAAAGACAGAATTCATATGGGGAGGCTATTTGGACAAAGCAAAATAAAATTACATCCACTCATACCCTCCTAGCAGATACAGCTGCATGCATGTATATGCACTTTTGTTTGAAACATTACCACAAGACTTCTCCAGTTTTGAGCATCATCCCCAGAAGTTGTAATGTATTTGTTGCAAACTTTTACAACAGACTTTCTGGGATAACCTATCCATCATATATCAAAAGAATTGAACTGTTGTTGGGAGAGTAATATAGTTAAGTCTATTTGTGGATTTTTCTTACATTTTCCTCCCCACCCCAACCCCCGTGTCCTTAGTATATGTTACAGATAAAAACTCCTTATCCAGCTTGGATTGCTTATCCAGCATAGTGGATCGGATCACCACCTCAGAACAGCCTGAACTGCCTTCCCAGGACCCAGCCTCTCTCTCCCCAGTTGCCAGCACTGATTCACAGCCTGCAACTCCAGGGACCTCCAGTTCCAGGCTCATCTATCATGTGCTATAAACTTAAAAGTTTACTATAGATCAGTTCTGCCAGTAGTGCCTATTCTACAGGAGGAAGAGGAATTCAAAAGTTCAAAGGCAAAACAAACTGTATATGTAAAATTTTCAGGCGGACGTTTGTAAATATTATCTTGCCACTTTATTAGAAAATGTATTTAACTAAAATGTCACTATCTCAATTAATGCTTTATATCTTTTTCTTTTCTCCTCTACTTCCTCCTTTTTCATTTTAGATACGTAGTTTCAAAAATATTTCTGATAGAGGAAATTCATTGAAGGTAGCTGGTTGCAATATTTAACTTATATTTTTATCCATATTGCTTATCAAAATATTATCTCTGATGTTTAGATCTTTATTTTTCTCTTAAAATATTAGAACAACTAGAACTCAGTAACAGGGAATTTAAAATATATTTAACTTCGGCTTTTTGCTTTAACCCTTTGGTCAGATTATATTAAATAAAACTGTAACAATACTGCCTAATGGTATATATTTTGATATTTTCGATAAGAAATGTATCTTTTAAATGTAAGCACAAATAGTACTTTGTGGATAATTTCAAGATATAAAGAATTTTGGAAATTCCACCATAAATAAAATTGTTTAATGAAAAATATTTTGGTTAATGCTTTTTTGAAAGAACATTACTAATGTAATTAGAAGTAATTTTCATGTAACATTAAAATGAAAATATAAAAAAAGACCTGACTTTGAAAAAGTCTGAGTATTTGCCACCTTATTAACTCGGTTTTGGTTACGTTGATGTTAGAAAAAAGGGAATATTCCCTTTTGAAGCATATCTCAAGGGAGCTTGCTAAAATTTTCCTTTTCCTATTTTGGTGATATATAATATTAAATTGAATTTGTATGGAGGAAATCTAGAAATTGTTCTGGATATAGTAAAAATAATTACAGCATATGACATTTCAATGACACATTAGAAAATTTGAGTTAATTATACGTTTTGCCAAAAAAATATCTGGACCATTAATGTATTAGTATTGTCAATAAAATATGTAAAAGTGTTGGGTTTACTTTTTCACCATTAAACTGCTGAAGAAAAAGTACATAAGAAAAAGTATACGCTCCCTGATATATATATGTGTATATACTGTGTATTTTAAAAATAAAAATAAAATACATACACAAATGACACATAAGTGAAACAAACCAAAATTGAATTCTTCCTTTTCACAGTCTTTAAAATTTTAATTTCATTAATCACATTGTGTATGTGTGTGCTTGACATACAACTTTTTATTTTTTTACTTTTTTTTTTAAATTTTTTTGTTTCTTTTTTTTTTAATTACAGTTGTAGATTTACAATTTTTTGTGCTTGGGTTTCGATTATACAATAATCAGATACCCATCCCTCCACCAGTGCCCATTTTCCACCACCATGGATAATATCCCCCCACCCCCATCCCCCCATCCCCCCCTGCCTCTGTGGCAGGGAAATCCCCTGTGTTCTCTCTCTCCTTTTGGGTGTTGCCTTCTGGAAAACAGTATGGACGATTCTCAAAAAATTAGAAATTGAGCTCCCATTTGACCCAGCAATACCACTCCTGGGAATATATCCCAGAGAGGCAAAAATGTATAGTCGAAGTGACATCTGCACTTGTTTGTTCATTGCAGCACTCTTTACAATAGCCAGAAACTGGAAGAAACCTGAATGCCCAAGAACAGATGACTGGTTAAAGAAACTTTGGTACATCTACACAATGGAGTACTATGTAGCTGCTAGAAAAGATGAAGTCATGAAATTTACATACAAGTGGTACAATATGGAAAGTATCATGCTAAGCGAAATGAGTCAGAAAGAGAGGGATAGACATAGAAAGATTGCATTCATCTGGGGGATATAAAGTAACAAAGTATGAGATTAATACCCAAGAATAGCTGAGATCAGCACCAGGAGGATTACAACATACAACTTTTATTGTTCGTTACTTGAATTCTCATGTAGAAAGAATGGAGATTCAAAAATAAAATTAAGTGGAAAATTGGGCCAAGATAAGCATATGAATATTGGGGAGGATTAAGAGAAAATATCCTTTACTCTAAGGAAGAACTCACAGAGAGGAATAAAGATAATAATTTGATTTCTTAATCTTTACATTAGTTTGAAATTGGAAGGGTTTGTTGTTATATATGTTCATCATTTGAAATATACAGATGCATGCTGGATCGAGTCTGGCAGTCAGACTATTCAGAAAGGATCCCACTTTGTTTGAAGTGCCTTTATTATGTGGCAATGTGGTCAGAATGGGAACTGTTCCATAAATGAAAATCTAGAAGAATAGTCGAGTTAAAAAAAACCCTGTAACTTAAGTCACGCATTATATCTTGTCCTCATATAGAATGTGATTTTCTTTCCATTTATGCATGGGAAGGGTCTGAGTAACATATGGCTGTGTCCAGGGTTTACTCCTGGTTTCTGAGAGCAAGGGATCCTATGTGGTGCCGAGGATATATAATGCCAATATCTTACCCCTGTCCCATCTTTCTGGTCCCTGCAATGTGATTTTTAGTCACTAAATCTTAATTGGTAATTTTATAACTGTAAGAATTCACTGGGCATGGTACAAGCTCTTGTATAGCTTCCATGTATGTTTGCTTATCCCCTTTGGTTACATACTGAACTAGCTGCATTTTTCTCCATTGAGAGGTTAGAAAATTAGAACTTTAGAACTATGCCCCAATAAATGCATCAATTTGATCTCTGGTCTGTCATGATCCCTCAGCACTGCAAGTAACAACCCTGGAATATAGAGCCAGGAGTATTCCCAAGACAATGTCCGGGCAAAACAAAAAATCCAAAACAATCTAACAAGCCCCAAAACAAAGAAACAACTACAGCAACAATAACAAAAGCCCTATTAAACTCTGCCTGACTTAATGCAAGTAGATCGTGTCTGTAAGTCATTTAAAATATAGTGAGTAAACATTTACTTTTAAATTAAAATGGCATCTATCTCTATAACTTTACAATGTGTTTAATATTATATTAGTTATAATTCCCCAAATTATTTAGACTTTTCTGGTCATTTGTATTTAATATATTCTATAATCAATGACAGATATTACTCTTTATACCAGATCACTCAGTTAATCTAATTAGCCCAATTAATGTATCAACTGATATAGAATTAGCTACTCAGCTAATGAATGGATGGACACTGAGGGTTAGATGTTTTATTTTATAAACAACTCAACTCAACATCCTTACTTCATTACATATATTTTACATATGGGGTCTTCAAGGCATTAGATTTCTGGTGAACCACACCTTGAAAGTCTTCCCTTCTTCAAGAAAGCAGAAGAGGTAAGGAATAAAACAAGAGGAATCAGCAACATACTCAAGTGGAGGATAGGATTTTACCATTTATTGATCTCCTGGTGTGAACAGCTGGATTGCCACTGAACTCATGTCAGACCACTACATCTCAGTAGATAGAAAGCATGCAATCATCAACAAACCCCTAGAACTCATTATGAAAATGTTCTCTCCATGCAAAACTGATGACAGTAAGAGTTCAAAGAAAAAGTCTGTCAAGTGAGGGTGTGGAAACTGGAAAATATTCTTTGGAAACAAATTGCTATATAAACCATGGTGTGTTTTTTTTATTTGTTTTGCTTTGTTTTGTGGCCACACCTGATGGTATTCAGTACTCCTGGCCTTGTCCTCAGGAATCATTCTTGTCTTAATTTAGTTTTCATCTTGTAATCTTACTCTGCTTTTATCATTATCCATGGTCATAAAGACCTTCAGATCATTGAATTGTTCTAGCATTGGGTAAACTCTTAACTCCAACCCAAATGTTATCCCTGATTTTTAGATTTTTACAACCAAATATTTTCTTAACAGTTCCTGGATGTTCCAGTGGTATATGTTCCAGCAATTTCACTCCATAGAATATACCCAGGGCCCATATCAATGCATAAAAGACACCTGCATTCCTGTTTATTGAAAAACTACTCACAATAGATCAAATCTGGAAACAACTCATGTCCAAAACGGTGACTAGATAAAGAAACTATGGTACATAGTTACAATGAAATACAAATCAGCTGTAAGAAAAGATGAAGCCATACAATTTGCTGCTATGTGGATGGAAATGGAAAATATGTTGAGTGAAGCTAGTCAGAGGAAGAGTGACAGACATAGAATGAACTCTCTTTTATGTGGATATAGAAAAACACATGAAGGGAATAACAAATGCTCAAAGTTGAGGGAGTGTACAATATGACTTGGTTCTCAGAGAACTCTGGAGAACAAGAGCTAAAAGAAAGTATAAAGTGCCTACCAGAGAGGAAGGCTGAGAGGTGGAAGGGTAACTGGGGACAATGTTGGAGGGAAGTGGAAATTGGTGAAGGAATTGGTGGTGAAACATTGTATTCCTGAAATTCAGTCATTAATAAATTGGCAACTTTGTAACTCATGGTTATTCAAGAAAAAAGAACATTTATTAGCAATTAGGAAAATAAAAACAAAACCACAATAAAATAGTTACATACATACACACATACAGAAAAGAGAAAAAATAATGAAAAACATTGCAAACTAACCTCATGAGGTTCTGTGTCTTCCTACAGCTAAACCTGACTCCCTTTCAGTGTTAAACTCTCAGTGAATGACTTATCTATTAATATAAGTTCAAAACGTAGAATATTTTCCTGAAATACAACCCACCTTATCCTGTTGTCTGGTTCATTATAAAATTTTAAGAGATTATTCTATATTTCTCTAATATATATGCTTAAGGCAAGTTGTGTTTATATCTAGCATTGAATTCTCAACAGTTTTTCCTTAAAAGTTACTTGGGATCTCTCACTATTGAAGGAAATATCAAATTTAGTACTAAATTTTCCTTTGGGAATTGTCTTCCTTCCTTTTTCCAGACTGCATAGCTCAAGTGGAATTGATGGTGCCAGTTGATTCTAGAAGCAAGAAAATCGTTTATACTTACCATGAGCATATTCTCTTCTGATAATGCTAA